CCCCAGTGCTGTAAGGCTGAAGTGCTAACCACTACACCTATTTGCTGCTGCCTTGATGGCATAAAACTGGATGAGGGGTAGTTATCAAAACTGGAGCAGACACAATCTGGAGTAGTTGCCCATGGCAGTCAATCAGCTTCTATCTCTCATTTTCAAAGCTTAAAGGAGAACTATGGGGTAAGTGCTTTTTCCCCATAGTTCTCCTAAGGGTAACGGGAGGACACAAACTAGCGTTCTCCCGTCACCCTAAGCTCAGTATACCGCGAGCTACAGCTTGCGGTATACTGAGACGCCGCAGCCGGGATGGATCTCGACAATTATGTCTGGATCCGCCCAGCTGCGTGAGTGACCTATCTAGAGGCAGAGCCAGCTGTCCCCTCCCCGTCCGTTCCACCAGTCAGCACTGGAGGAGGGGGGGGGGACCCCTGCAGGGAGCCGTGAGTGACAGTCACGGCTCTCTGCAGGGACAGGATCGAGAAGTGAGCGAGCGACGCTATGTGTTCGCTCACTTCCCGATCTAGTGTGACAGTTTCATTGTCACACGTCGGCTCGAACTATGAGGCTGGGTAAAAATCACTCAGCTCATAGTTCTCCTTTAAGTGAACAAACTGAAGAGAGAAGCAGATTGGTTACTAAAGGCGCCTGCTCCATATTCTGTCTGCTCCAGTTTTGATAAACTCCCACCAATGTGTCACTTACCGGTCCATAGGCACTGGGGTAGTTATCAGGCACAGCGCTACCCATCCCCAGAGTCCTAGTTGGGTATGAATCAAATTCAAGAATAATCAGGAATTTGCTGCATTTTGTAAAAATATTTTGTTTCATCTCTGAAAAAACGGCAACATTATGAACAAACGTGAGAAAACAAATACTCTCGTAACCAAAGCAGACTTTACTACTATGTACAGCTTGTCACAGGGTCTCTGACATAAAGGGGGCACAGAGATTGTCTCGTGCTGTAAAGGACAATTTATTTTGTATTTTATATTGTAAATAGTATTTTAATTGATCAGGTTCACTTTGAGGTGTAAAATGGTCGTGCACTATTGATGCACAATCTCTGTACAATCTCCTTTAAGCGGGCCATACACCTGTAGATTATCTGCAGACTTTCTATGGTCAGATGGAAAAAGTGCAACAGATTCCTTCATCTACGCTACACTGTGTGGCTGGAGGAATCTCCCACTGGGCCAAGCTTCAGTATCTTGCTAGTCGGTCTTACTGGCTGTCAAAATCCCTGAACAATCTGATTGGATGTGGGCAATGTTCAGGTATTTGGACAGCCAGCGAGGCCGACTAGCAAGATACTGAAGCTTGGCCCAGCGGAAGATTCCTCCACCCACACAGTTTAGCGTAGATGAAGAAATCTGTTGCACTTTTTCCATCCCCTCAGCCCCCCCCCCCCGTACTGAGGCCGATCGTCACCATCAGCAGCCCCCCCGTGGGGGAGGCCCCATCTGCACAGACAATCACTCACCTGGCATTCAAAGCGCCGCCTTCTGGACACCACCGCAGCACGCCGTCCTCGTCCCCGCCGGCCGTCCTCGTCCCCGGCTCTACTATAGCCTAAAGCCTCCGGTTCACTTCCCCTGATAAATAAAATTTATCAAGGGGAGAGAGCCACAGCAACGCCGCTCTCAGGGAATCTGCCGCTCCAGGCAAACGCCTTGTTTGCCTCGCGGCAGATACGCCCCTGGGTGTATGGCCAGCTATAGATTTACCAAAATTAGAGGACAAACATAAACAATCAATTCAATTTGTAGCCAATCAGACAGGCTCTTGATGGTAGATCTAAAGGAGATGTTACAATCGGATTGCCTGGTGTATGGTCAGCCTTAAGGTGCCCATACCAATATCGGGCGATCTTTGCATGCGCTTGCATTATTGTCCGATATTCGTAAGGTTGATGGGCAGTGTACAACCACACATACTGTACAATCGATCGACTTTTGACTAACCAGCAGGTTAGAAAACTTCGGTCGATCGTACGATTTTTGCAAGGTTGGTGGCGTTTCCGTACGCCACAATTGGTACGATTTACACTGCACATGCGCAGACGAAAATAAGTGCGGTCGATTACCGCAATTCGTCCAGTTGCTTTTCTGTTAATTACCGCTGATCCAACCTTGCGATAATCGGGGCAGGATGGGGCCGCAGTACGAAAATCATACGACGGTTCGATCATCGGACGAAAAGTGCCGTCCAATGATCGCAAGATGTGTGGGCACATGTAAGTTGGCATACACTGTACAATCTGATTATACAATCTCCTTTAGCTTTACCCAAACTACGTAATATGAGGACAAACCTAAACAAGACATTCCCTTTGTATGAAATCACGCAGGCTCTGCCCACACACTATATAGTTGATGGTGAATGGAGATTGTACAATGATATTGTATAGTGTACGGTCATAGTGTATGGAATTCTAACAGTGAATGTGGTTTTCACTCGGGAAACTCCATTCATTCCAAATATTGGACGTTAAAGTCAAACACAATTTCGAACGACATTCGTGAAGTCTCTTATGGAATGTTCTGACCTGATTTTTCATATGACGGTGATACGCAGATCTAGCAGTGTGTGGCCAGCTTGTTTTGCATGCCATTGTCGTGAAAGGACATTATAAATACGGATATAACCGAGAAACCACAACATTCTAACAAAGGTCACCGTATGGTAACAGATGGGGAAGAATGAAATGCGTCATGCAGAGGAGGAATACGACGGGACAAACATTTCCATGGACAGATCTGCCCAACCCGGGACTGTCCCTGGAACTCAGAGACAACCACAATGTCTGTCATTTCCCAACATAATGAAGCCGAGATAAATCTGGCTGATTATTTGGGTCCGAAGGGCCCCTGTAATTGCTCTGGCCCCTGTGGGAAGCAGGGGCAGGTAGGTTTAGTTGTAAGCCTGCTGTCCCTGGCAGTGATCAATATCCCATTACTGGTCGCTGCCTATCTCTGTGCACAGGCTTCCTGTCTGATGAGAAGACCCTGTATGGCAAGAGATGACAGCTATCGATCCTCATCGCAGGACGGTCACTTCATCAGGGCAAGAAAGGCAGCAATTTCTCCGTAATAACCCTGCCTAATAAATCCTGCTAGCCTGTGCTTGCCCTGTCACCTATCCATCAGGGACACAGGTCACTGCAGACAGCACAGTCTTATTATACA